GTTAATAAAGTTCTTTGTTACCCTTTGTTACCCCCGCCATTTACATTGGGTATAAAAGCTGTGGAAAAGTAAACAGGAGGGGTGACTTCAGGATTTCAGTCACTGGAATGCCCTCCCAATACTTTCTATGGTTTCTGATATAAAATAGTATATTCACTTGACACATTTTTTATGTGTCTTTATATTCTTGTATTTCTAAAATCTCCATGCCCCTACCCTGGTAAGAGGCATTTTTGTCGAGGCCGATCCTCAACAGTAGATATAAGAAGATCACCACAGCAGCTGGTCCACAAAGAAGCTAACACACGCTTCAACAAGGTTCCTTCTTTTCCCTTTAGTAAGTAAAACCCAAGGCCATGATTGGGCTTCACAGTGGGCTAAACTGGGTTGCATAGAAACATTACAACATATAGAGAACCAAAACATAATGGGATCCTGAAAACAAAGGAGGGATGAGGTTCCTTTTAAAGACTGTAGAGAAGCTTTGCTGAGAGAGAGAGAGAGAGAGAGAGAGAGAGAGAGAGAGAGAGAGAGAATGAATGAGCCACCCTGAGACGAATGGCAGGCAGCAGGAGACCAGGAGTCTCTTCAGACAGTGACTTTCAAATCTAGACCACATCCCCCAGCACCCTTGAGGAGTCTTGGACCCAAACAGAAGTCTGCCTTTTATAAGTAGTGAAAGGTCTCACATTACATGATTTAGTTTAGCATAACATACATGACAGGGAGCATGATGGAGCCAGTTACCATAAATTGTGAGTTTTTACTTAATAGCACAAACTGCTTCTTAATTCTCTATCCAATGTAAGCCTGCAGGAATACATGGCCTGATTCAGGTTATGCAATCAGACTAAAGGTGCAGGTTTGAGGTCCAAATCTGTGTGTGTGTGTGTGTGTGTGTGTGTGTGTGTGAGAGAGAGAGAGAGAAAGAGAGAGAGAGAGAGAAACAGAGAGTTTCTTGAGTTTGAAAACACTGTGCAGACAAAATAAATCACATCATTCCATCACTTCAGCTTGAGGGAGTGGGTAGTGTGCTTTTGAAAAAGCGTGTCTCTGATACTTCATCATGTTTAAGAGAAACTGACAAAGTCCTCAGCGAATTGAAACAATTGTGGGTAATTAGATTGTGAAGTGTTGACAGTTATCAATATATGAATGATTTGGGCCACCGTACTCAAAGTGCCAATTGGTGGATGGAAGGAGGTACCTTTCTCTGTAAGCTACACAGACTTTAATCCTATCGCCCACGACACAGATCTCTAGTCTCTTCTCGTTAAGTAGAATCATCTTTGCCTTGCCAACAAAAAGGGACTCAGCTTCATTATGATTCATGGAACTGGACAAAATGTCTTAACCTCCTTCATTTTAAAAGACTCTTTGAAGGGCAACATGGGTGTAACCTAAAGTATATGTGTGTGTGTTTATGTATATATGTATGTATATATATATGTCAGAGCTGAATGTGATAGCACCCCAGAGGCAGGAGAATTAGCAGTTCAAAGTGCAATGAGGCCCCTCTCAGAGCTCCAAGGCCTGAATATGTAACTCAGAGGTAGAGTACTTACTGAACATACATAAGGACCTGGGTCTTATACCTAGAACAGAGAAAAACCATTAAAGAGCACCCTAATGATTTTGACCAGATTGCACTAAATCTGCACTGTTACATAAAGGGAGGAAGCTGTGTGGCTGGAGACTGTATGGATGGAAGTTGGTCTTAGTCAAGTTAGTGCTCCAAACGTCCAGTACAAAGGTGTTTATTTTACCAGCAGCATCACCCTACCACATATCTCTAAATGACACCAGAGGCAGCAGTTCTGTCTCAGCATACCTTCGGGATAATCGTGATGTGAGAGGATTCAGCAGATTCTTGTCTTTAAGCACAGTGGCAGGAATTGGACATAGGTGACAGGGAGGCTGGACAGAGTCAGGAACCAAAACCTATGAGCTGTTAAGCTGTCGCACACACTGCTTCTTAACTCTTCTAGAGAAAACTTCAGGGATGTGTGACCTGATCCCATAGCCCAAACCAGGCCTAAAGGTGTAGGTCTACGTTTTAACTTGGTCAAGTGGATGGTGTGGTTATGTTTTGTGGCGGCCTGGGTTAACTATGGTGAAGCATTATGCTTCCACACTAAACTCGTGAATCCTCAGATGAAGGCATTCTTGTACCCCCGAGTTCCTCATTCCTACACCCCAAGCTCCTGTTAATAATTCCGGGCACAAGAACGGATTACGACATACACAACCAAATAGGGAAGGGGAGGGGACAAGGTGGTAGTGCACAGGCCTGTGTGAAAACAATTTGAACAGAGAGGAGGGTGGAGTGGGAGTGGGCAGCCTGCTTTTAAAGGCTGCTAGTACATGCACACACAGGAGCTCATGTAGCTTCATCATGCACGGATTAGGATACCACGTTGCACGGATTAGGATACCACGTTGCACGTAGGTTACATAGGTCTTAAAACCAGGCAGTTTGCCTGAACACCAATGGTGCATGCATGGCCGTAAGTCTCGGAAGTGCTAACGCCTGGGGTGGCTGAGCATTTTGCCTGAATGCTACTGACAGCTACTGGGAGCTCTGGATGTGATGAAAAATACCAAAGCCTATAATGGATTTGTTTTTTTGACCAAAGTTTATGACATAACTGGGCATAGATCCAGATCAGTTCCATGATTTTTAGAGTGCCATTGGTGGGCAGTGAAAGACCTGGATAAAGCCAGACTCCTCTAGCAGGAAAAATAGAGCCAAAAATCTAGGTTCAGTGACTCTGTTTCAGGAACTAGCTGAAGATAAAGTTAGATTATAATCTTGAGAATAATATTGAGAAACAGGGGGTTACCCCTTGTGATTATCACTGGTATTTTTGGAATTGTCAATGATGCCCTCCCTACCTCCTTTGGTTACTGGGTTGTGGTTTCTTCCCTTAAAAACCCCTTCTCCCAGTTACTTGAGGTCGAACTCCTCCTCTGCGTGGGTTATGAGTCTGGGCCCCAGTGCACTGGTTCCTGTCCTGTCAGATAAACCTCATGTGATTTCAACAAGGACGGTCTCTCATGAGTTACTGGGGGGGGGGGTCGTGTTATCCTGAGACTTGAGTGAGAGTCTCCCCACTCCAGGGGTCTTTCAGCAGAAAGGTTGTGGAGTCTGGTGTTTCTGGTGTCTGCCATGGAAAGGGGTCCTGATTGAGATGAAAGGCAACAACAGAGTAAGCAGAACTAAAAGTGGAAAATGAAAATATCCTGATGATGTCTTTGAATGGCTGGATCCAGATCTGGGTAAAGAGATTACCCTATTGGGTGTCTGGACCCAGACATGCCTGAGACAGTAGTGTATGCTTCTTTTCCTCCCATCATAATTGGATGCCTTTCTAGGACCTCGACCCTTAGCCACGTCAGCTAGAGCAGAACTAATCAATGGTAGCTAGATCTATGGAACTGGCAGTATTGACCCTCACCAAGGAGGGTGAGGAGAGCTTTTCCTGGGATGCTATTGCTCCCTTCTCCAGATACAAGTGTTCTTAGAAGATGTTGGAGTATACTAAAAATAAAGTTAAAAATGAGACTTTTTGGTGTAGTTTCTATGAGGTCAGCATCCATGATGGGGTGGGCCCTGCTTTTTGTGCAATCACTCACGCTTGTTTACGTAACCTCTGACCCGTGCTCAGAAAGAAAGCTCAATAAACTAATTTGTCTCACCACACTAGACTTTGGTGAAATCATAGACTTGGGTCTGTCATTGGAGCACACCCGGGATGACTAGATGATCTCTGTGTACCCCAGGAAAAGTGAACACAGCAGGCAAATGACCTGTCTAAATATTTAATTGAACCAAAAAAATTGAACCTATTTTAAGCCATTTTAAATTTCTAGTACTGGTATCAGACAGCATCCTGATAGTGATGTCGGCTGATATTGGGGTTCAGTGGACACCCATTGTGAGTTCCAGGTTCTTTTGTGGTGTAACAAAGAAGGGTAGATAGTGAGAAGCACAATGAAAGGATTTAATTACAGATGTACTTCTAAGGGAGACCGCATCTCCAGGAGATAGAGCTGAGCAGCCAAGGGCACCACTGCACCAGACTGGTGCTTAAATCACCTTAGCAGAGGTTTTTTTTTTTTTAAGCTCATTTACATAACACAGGTGTTGTGGGATAATCTTTTAGTACACTGTGAAACAGTCTCTGTTTTGTCTCATCTGCCTGGAGCACCTTCTAATTGGTTTACTAAGTAGCTGAATGGACAACAGCTAGGCAGCAGAGGCTAGGTGGACTTCCAGGGAGAGAGAGGAACTGGGGAAGAATCTGAGCTCTGCAGATTTTGTCAAGGAGACCCGGAGCAAGTGGGATACCCAATACTGAGGAGAGGTAAAGAATCATGTGGCAAAATGCAGATGAATAGAAACTGGTTAATTTATCAGAGCTAGTGGGACAGGCCTAAACTAAGGCCAAGCTTTCATAACGGATGATAAATCTTATCTTAAATCTCCATTTGGGGGTGAGTGTGCATTTTAGAATTACAACAAGCCCTGGAGTGCCACTGAAAGGGACACAGTTTAGTTGGGTTTGGGATGGGGAATCAGGTTTTTCTTTTACAATTTACTTTTTCAGATGCTAATTTTCTAGGACTTTTTACAAGACCTGGGCCTCACTCATGCTATTTTCTTAGAATAGAAACCTGCATTTCTACTGGAGATTTACCACAGTGCTGGAATATTTCCTGGATGTGCACACTGCCCTGAAGTGATGCCCAGCACTAAAAACCAGAAAACCATTTGTTTATCAACTAGATCAGGCAATATAGAATTGCCTTTTATATGGACTGAACACATACCAGGAATATGAGAGATTATTGTGACCTTTTCTTTTAATCTCAGTTTTTCTTTGACTCAAATGCTATATACATATACATATCACAACACACACACACACACACACACACACACACACACACACTTGCTTTCCCCTCCAGAGATAAAGAAACAATTTTTTAAAAAAATCTGAAATTTGTACTTAGGTGACAAGCAATTTTATTTTGCAAAACAATCACTATACAGCAACAAATACATTTGCAAATTGATTGAAAAACATGAACTAACTACAACCAGCCATTGAAGAAATTCCTTTCTATGGTAACAGGCTCTAGAATTATCAGAAGAAAGAACCCCCACAGATTTGTAGTGACGTGTTGGAACCTTGGGATCCTATCATACAGAGTATACTTTTTATTTTTTTTTCCCTTTTTGCTAAAGTTGAAGTGGACTTTCATGATTGGCATTCTTTTAGAGTTTGAAAAAAATCTTTTTCCTACAGGGGGACGTGGCCTCGACCTACATGGTCAGGCTGAAATTCTAGTTGTAAAAACAGAAACATCAGTGTTGATGTTAGCACATCAGTCTTTGAAGAAACGCCTGGAATTGCATCTCCAACTGATTAATCTACTTTTCTTTTCTACTTCTAACACAAGTCATTTCTTTTCCTTCCTGTGGCATGAAAAATAAGAGAAAAGCTATAAATGCAGCTAGGTCAGAATGTTCACATTTAGATTATTTCTTAACTACTACTGATGAGGTGCTCCCTATGTCTGCAGACCTCTCTTCTACACCACGTGTGTGTGTGTGTGTGTGTGTGTGTGTGTGTCTGTGTGTCTGTGTGTGTGGAGAAGGCCAGCTACAGTCTGTCTTTCAGTTTGCTAGACCTCTTCTTTCAGCTCCCTTCAGACCAACTGACACAGGTGTATTTCCTATGGGTGGGATTTCAGCCCATCATCCTGCTGGAACTCAGCAGGCAGCTCCAGAAAGAGTCTGTTCCTAAGTGAACACGGCCTTAGAAACTCATCATCAACTCGGATCCTTCCTGCATTGTTGCAAGGCATCCAATTTTCAGTTGCAGGAGACCCAGAGTGTACGAGTTCATTGCAAAAGTTGGCCTTGGAACTCTTCAGAACTCTGGATGCTTACGTATTCTTAAACAGGTTCTCAAAGGCTAAAACCAGAGAGAAACTGGCATGAATAGATCTAGAAAGGGAGCTGTGAAGCTTTCCTTTCTAGATCAGCGTGTGTGTCCCCACAAAAGTGGTGTCCAAAAGCTTAATTTGAGTCATTATCTTAAGATAAGGTAAAGTGGGATCCATCCCATAGTCCCATAAGAAAATGTATTTAGCCTGTGCATCTCTCTGTCTCTGTCTAGATTCAAAAGTTCAGTCCCCTTGTGTTAACTTTATATAAGATCACAATTTCATATAAAACAAAGACTTGTATTCATTATAACTGCATTAACATTAGAAGTAAATGATTATTTTGGCGCCAAATCTGTTCACATTGGTGCTTACACAATATTATTTTGAACATGTATTCTAATAACTGAATTTTAATACTTAGAACAAGTTCTCTTAGCTTTAATTTTTATAATAAATGAGGTTGAAATTATTTTCCTCACAACCCTAACCATCTGTTAACTTTCTTTTCTAGGTATCTTTAATCCTTGTCTAGCACTATCCAAACAAGTAAGAATGTCGTTCTTCACACACCATTGTCTCATCTTCCATTTCCAGAGTGAGAACAAACATTAATGTTATGTCAAAAATAAGTGGTTTACAAATAAAGACATCCTTTGTGTGTGTGTGTGTGTGTGTGTGTGTGTGTGTGTGTGTGTGTGTGTGAACCTCCTAGCTGAGAAGACTGTTTTGGGTGGATGTTGAGTTTTCCACATGACTGCCCCATTCGCTATAATACTCAATGGGTCACTAAAATGCCACCAGTGTCTCTTGCTTTTGCATCATCTTGCCTTCTCTCTCAGTTACTCCTACACCTCTCTGTTCTGTTCTTGTTCAGTATCTCCTTTATATGCAGGACTTGATTTGCTTAATAGACATAAAAATCCTAGCCAACCTTTTGTAGCTAATTTTTCAGATTCAGTCTACCAATCTTAAGCAAGAAAAAGAATAAATAAAATATTAAAAAGTCCACCCAGTTTGATAATGGTTTGTCCTAATTTGGGCCATTGACTACAACTTATTCATTAAATATGATTTCTAAATGAGTTAAATTGTGATGTCTAGACTTATATAAAATGAAAAAATAATGTTTACTGATAAATATAGTCATATCATGTTCTTGTACAGACTGCAGTGTTGATTCTTGGAAAAATGGATTTAAATATCTGTGTCTCAAAGGTTTTACATAGGTAGGTTCTCAATATGTTGTAGTTTTCCTTTTTGATTAAGGGATCTTGGGATAAAGAAGTCAAATGCCTTCTATCAGAGAATTTAATGAACAAGTACTAGTTGGAAAACAGGGAAATATGCCCAAAATTATTACTCATAGGTTCAACTTTAGCAAATGGAAAAAAGAAAAAGAAAGGGGAGGAAACAAATAACGAGGAATCTGTTTGATGAATGATTATAGGAATAAATACCAAAGTATTCAGTGATTAAACATGTGATAAACCCATAATTGCTGAGCCAACACTCTGTAAGCCTTTCTATGTATGACTGGACCCACTGCACACACTCCATGTTGGTGAAAGCAAAGAGAAATGAAATTTCCTAGCGTCACAGGACAGACTTGATTCTGGCACTGAAACAGGGCTACAGCTGAGTCGTTACAGAAAGCAACTTCATGCTAAAATGGTTTGTCTTTTTAAAATGTATTTTTAAGTAGGGAGAGAACCCTGCTAACATCTACTTTCACATACCTAAAATTGCAACACCAAAGGGTGTAGGAGACACAGATACTGTGAATAAAGAAGTATCATATTCAAGTATATGAGGAAGTATCACAAATGGCCACAGAGAAATATATATATATATTTATATCTATAATACTGTATCAAACAGATGGGATAGGGGTGTGAAACTGATTGTGTGAACACAAATCTAGCCAATCAACTGACACTCTAATCAGACACAAGCCCATCCTAATGAAAGTGCAGCCATCCTAAGGAACGCACTTGGATACCACTTCTTCAACTACAGTGCAGACGCTTTACATCTAGTTTTCTGTTAAATAATTTATTAGGATGGCATACTCTGATATAATCATCCAGGTCCCAAATGTTAATAACTTAGTTGCATCTTTCTTCCCATTTATACAAAATCACACCTTAAATATGTGTTTCTCACATGCTCTTTCCTTCCTGCAACCAGACTTCTTCAGACTCCTTGATTTCATTTAACCTGTAATAGGTGACAATGGGCAGTTTTTAATCTTTTCAACCATAAACAGAATAGTGAAATGAGCAGCTTGGAATTTTAACAAGGCCTTTCAGAATGAATTGGAGAGCCTTCAGGCACATGAAAGGTAAAAATGCAATTTAAAAAATAATAGTACTCCATGCAAAACAGAGCAGAGCGAAAATAATTGTCCGATTGTATCCATGTAAAGCCATGTGTTCCTGTTGCGGATGGAATTCAGGTCATTGTTCTGCATATACTATTCATTTTTTCATATAAAATTGTAACAATTACTACAGTTTGGGGGTGAGATTATTTATCTATGGTTTGTAAAGAATGAATATGACACCTGCTTAGAGCCCACTCCTGCCAAGAGCTCATGCCTAAATATACTCCCGTGCTAAAGGAGACATATTCACAAGCCCTGCTTAGCAAGCGCGGCAGTGACATCCTCAGCCAAAGTGGCAAGCTGAGGGGACTCCAGCAGGTTGATACTTCCCGAAGAGGAGACGTTGCTGAGTCGCCGAGGCGATGCCACGCTCGACCTGCTTGGGGACTGTGTGATGATCTCAGCCCCGTGGTCTACACGGGCCTTTGCGTGCTCTCTGAAGTTCAACTTTTGGCTGTCAATCTGTTTAAGAGAAGCATTAGTCTTCATTAGCCAAGGCCTCTCCACCAGTCCCCAGCTCTCTCCGACCATTCAGCAGCTGATAAGAATCAGGTGTCTATTCAGCTCAGGATCCCTCCCTCCTGTCTGACAGGCTCTTAAAGCAGAGACCCATTTTGAGCAAGCTATTTCAGATTGTAGTTAGGAAGCATGACGGGTTACTAAAGTGGTGGCTGTAGGTTCTTCCATTTAGGGACATATATGTAGGTAAACATACATATATGCCTTGAATTTGAAAGAGAATGAAGGATTAAGAGAAAGGAAAGGGAAAGAGGAAATGATATAATTACAAAATTATATTTATTATACTCTAATTCCAATAAAAGAAAAAATAGAAAAAGGAATATTTCATAAGAAATGTGTTTGCACAAACACATAATGATTCACGGCCTTATCTCTCACCTTCACATTGCCTCCTCCGGGTACATGGTGAGCATTGTCAAGGGAGCCCACTTTAGCTTGGGCCTTTTCCTTGAAATCCAGTTTTACACTCTCAATTTTCACACGTCCACCACCTTCAAGAGGAGAAAGACTTTTAAATTCCTTACTGAGATGGAATCTTCTATTTATGAAAACTATCCTCATACAAGGATGAACCATATGGAATGCCAGGGAGGAATCTGAATTTTTCAGTCCACATTACTTTGCCTCATGAGGCAATAGAATGAAATCCTCTTACACCACGATACAGATTGCGCCACATAGTGTGCCTACTACTTCTCTAGCCACATCTCCTTAAGAACCAGAGAGGTCCTAATACCTCCAAAAATACACAGCAATGAAAATATCCTACTGTATCCTTTCTAGAACTTCGAACATGTAATATTTTTATTTTTACTAGAATAAATTAAATGGAAATGAAGCTATCCTTTATTGATCTTCATGATAAAAAGCCACTTCTCTAAAAGAGTTTTAGGCTGTGATGGTGCATGTCCTAGACAGTTGTGAGCTTGACACACCTAGAGTTACTCGAGGGAATTTTAAATGAGGACATTTCCAGATCAGAGTGGCCTGTGGTCAGTTTGGTTGGTTGATTACGGCAAGGCCCAGCCAACTGTAGGTGGCACCATCGTTGAGCAGGTGGGCCTGGGCTGTGAAGAAGCTGGAGGAAAATGAGCCAATAAGGAAGGCAGATAGCAGCCCAGCAAGCAGAATTTCTTCATGGCTTTGGCTTGAGTTCCTGCTCTGGTTTCCCTCCGTGATGGAGGGTGACCTACAAGTGCAAGCTGTAATGAACCTATTCCTCCCCTAAATTGCTTATAGTTATGAAAGCAGATTGGGACAGTGGGTATATAGACAATATCAGTAAGCTTTCTGTATCTGCAGGATCAACATCCTTGGATTTGAAAATACTTAGCAAAATCTGTGTCTGTATTAAATATCTGCAGAACATTTTCTTTATCATTATTTTCTGAATATTATATAATGAAGATTTATACACCATTTAGACTGTTAGATGCTACACATGATAATGAGGTGATTTAAAACATACATAAGAGACCTGAGGGTCTGGGTATCCACAAGGTGTGTTGGAACCAATCCTCCACAAACGAGGGAGAAGCCTACTCTCACTTGTACGTTCCCAATATCAATAACTTTTCCAATGAAATGAGTTACAAATTGCATTTTTTTATAACTAGTTTTAAGGCCTCCCCTCTACTTAGCATACAGATTGCTAGGCTATGACTGAATAGATTCTTGTACAATTGCTGACATCGTCACTCTCTGATAACACTGACATGCTTTTTGATCATGTTACTTCCTATATTGCTAACACTCTGAAGTGTAATAATCTGTTGATGGTGCCACAGACACCCGTTGGAACTGTTTTCTCCATCCCTGTGGGCCTCTCTTAGACTTTCAAAGTAGGCGCTTCTTCTACACTTAGTAGCCATTCAGTGTTGCTCATACTGATCTTAACCATGATTAAGCATTTGCTGATATTTTTGACTTAGAAAGGTAGACTATAATCTTTTTTATAGATCTGCACCTAAGAGATTTTCATGGGATGTTTGCTTTCAACTACTAGCATTTGTCTGGAAGAAGTGCATCTTGATCCTTTAATCTAACATTTCCATGGGGATTTTAATTTAGAAAAAATGGTTGCAAGAACTATAAAAATATGTTGAATACTTTTTTTTCAAATTTGAATTCTCCTTTTTTTCTGTTTTTGGGCCAGGGTTTCTCTATGTAACAGCACTGGCTGTCCTGAAACTCTCTTTATAGATCTCAAACTCAGAGATCCACCTGCCTCTGCATTATGAGTGCTGGAATTCAAGGTGTGCACTACCACACCTAGCTCAATTTGGAATTCTTTATTTCTTTTAAGATTTATTTTTTATGTATACAGTATGCCTGCAGGCCAGGAGAGGGCACCAAATCTCAATATAGATAGCTGTGAGCAACCATGTGGTTGCTGGGAATTGAACTCAGGATCTCTGGAAGAGCAGTCAGTGCTCTTAACCTCTGGGCCATCTCTCCAGCCCTTCAATTTGGAATTCTTGATGCTTATGTATCTCTGCAACTTTTTTGGAGTCAGTTTTTCACTACTACAGATTATGCAATTAAGTTTCCCACATTTGAAAAAATTGCAAGAGTCAGCACGTCCCACGGGCAATGGAGGAGGCTCGCCTTGAGAAAACCTTCCTGATCATAGTATCCTTCCTACTAGACAAAGAAAGGGTGCTCATTAAGGTTTAGCCACATTCTTTTGAGCCTGTGATATCTTTCTTGTTCTAACTCTAGACAGTTATATTAATACCCAACTTGCTTGGCTAGGGGCCTCTTGTAAGGTATTAAAATACATTTTCAGAGAAAAATGTAGAGCGCAATAAAAATCAATAAAATTAAAAAATAATAAAAAATAATACATTTTCAAAAGCACTCATTTATTTCTCTTGGAATTTAGAGTGTATAAACTAGTATGTAATTTACATGTATGGGCACTACCTCAAAATATGCATGATTTCATGGAGCATTGTTCTCCCTGTGTCTTGTCTAGTCTGTGGGTCTGTCTTGTTGGTTGTGAGGGGATTTGCGTCATTTAATGATTCATACAAATGTAATCACCTTGGTTAGCGGGAAAATGTTGGGTCTTTTAACTAGGGATATTAATTTTTTGGGAATCTTATTTTTGCATTTTTGGTAGCTTCTGGCAAAAATTGCTTTCCCAAGATTCTTTTCTTTGATTGTATGTTGTGTTAACATTGTTTGGTTAAAATGTTATCGAATTTTTTTATATTAAAAAGAAAGGAAAATAACATATTGACAGAAACTACATCCAATAAAGGCTAATTCTGTTGGTTTCTCACTAGACAGTCTTATGTAATGTTTAGACAAGCCCATTCGAATTTAGAGATCTATGCCTCTGGTTTTAAAATCCTTTGACATCCATCATGAGAAGTAATTATGAAAAACTATAATCTTCATCAGGCTTTAAAGTAAACTGCAACTATTTCTATTTGTGTCCTTGGATGATGAACAGTTTGCTTTCAGGGCAGGCACTGTAGAAAGTTGTACAGCAACTTGTGAAAAGATCGCTATTGTCAAGGATCACCATGCTGACACTTCCTTTATGAATTTAGTCATACAATTTAGTTCTAATAGAAGAATCAGATTTAGAAATAAGTGGGAGTCTGTGACAATAGTCTTTTATGCCCACTAAATCATACACAGAATTTTGTCTTTATCTCTACAATGGTTCCTGTGCATACAAACCAGGTGAATGACTAACTCCATCTGTCCAGAATCAAAAAACCCAGCATTTTTCTTTGTATTCTGCAAGAAAAATGACAATGTGGCAAGATCCCCACATTATGCTATAAACTGAGCAGTAGTAGTCAGTCACTCAGTGGTAGACCAGCTATGGGCAGGGGGTTCTGAAGATCTGAACTAAGGCACATACCCTTGCTGCTCATGAAGAGAGAGCATGGACCCCTTGGATCTGGTTTGTATCCAGCAATGCAGATCCCATATACAAAGACTCAACCTCCTTGACTCGTCATGAACACTGGCACAGTGAAGACGCATTTCTGGTTTTTTCTAAGGTAGTTGTCCACGCTGAGACTTGTTCAGCCCATCTTTGTATCCTATAATTAGGATCCTAAAATGATCCTAATAATTTTCTATCTGGAAGTCTCAGCTCAATTATTGACAAACCTTACTTTGGACAATATTTGAGATGATAATTAATTTTGCTAATCTAAATTTGGCTTATATGTTAAAATGCCAAACAGATGGATCCTGTAATCCATTGATATGTTATAAATTGTACAGTGTCAAAATATCCTCAAGAACATGAAACGTTTGATAGTTATTTATTATTATCTATGTCTGGAGGTGGAATTTAGCACAAGTAAACCATTTGTGATACTCAGAGAAAAAATGACTAATATCATATTCGTACTTTTGAAATGAAGACCCCACCTTGGCAAGTGGGGATTCAAGTTCTAGTTTAAAATCCTATCCATGAAATGCCCTGAAACAATAAGAGTCTATGGCCAGGCACGCTGGGGGCATATTGCCTTCTGCTGAGGAGTCCCAGTGCTCAAGAGAGAGTTGGAGAAATGAATCAGTAAATGACTTTTTTTCAGCTGTGAGATCCAATCTCGTTTTACATAATGTGAAAAACATAATTTAGGAAACATATTTGGAAATACTGACTTCAGTCACTGTTCTTACATATAAGTCTCAGTGTATTTTGCAGACTACATATTCTAAAAGAATTCCAGTGTTCTATACACATGGTCACCTCTAGGTAATTCGGTTCATTTATTCCAAAGGAAGATGCCGCAGTTTATGTACAGTTTGTACTTAAATTTCTATTAACAAAAGCAGTATTAAGAGTTTGAAACATTTTTTTTTTCACTCATGTTTTTCACAAAAACATCAAGAATTCTGCTTGTCTACTTCAATTCAATTAAGTATATTACAACTGTTACAAATATTTTTTACCTGGCCTGTGACGAATGTTCTTCAGAGAGCCACATTTGGATGTCACATGGCTTAAGTCTATCTTCTTAGTAACAATTTGTACCTGTGTAAATCACAGGAAATGAACTTTAGAGAGCATAGACACATAAGGACCCACAAATCTGGATGTGTACTCACACCTGTTACATGCCACATCATATCCACAAACACACATACATCTACAAGCACACAGAGACACGGACCACACACACATACACACACACACACACCCACACAGACAGACACACACAGACACACACCCACACAGACATATACACACACAGACATACACCCACATAGACACTCACACAGACATACACACACAGACATACACCCACACAGACACCCACACAGACATATACACACACAGACATACAGCCACATAGACACTCACACAGACATACACCCACACAGACACACACACAGACAGACATACACATACACACTGACATGCACACACACAGACATACACACACACAGACACCACACAGACATACACATACTCAGACACACAGACATACACAGACACACAGACATACACACACATAGACACACAGACACACACACACACACACACACATACACACACACACACACACACACACTTCCTGTCTCCTCTATTTCAAACACACATACACACACACACACACACACACACACACACACACACACACACTTCCTGTCTCCTCTATTTCAAACTGGAAAGAAGAACCCAAGCAAGTGAAAACCCTAGAAGAGAAGTTTTATTAGTAGAAAATAGATAATGCTGTGAGAGCGTGGGGCCATTTGTATTAATAAGGCAAGCATCCCCTGGGAAAAGTGCTCCATGTTAAACTCCTCCATAGCAAGAACAAAGAGAAGGACGGGTTGTCATTTACAGGGTGACTTTTATACAGACGTGACTAAGGCTGGTCACAGGAACAAGACAAGTACAGAGACAGAAGAAAGCGCTGAACAGGCTTCCCTAAACTGTCCCCTTAGCCTGACTAAGCGGAATTTTTCTTATGCACTGGGCTAGAAAATGATACTGCTTTTTCTTGTTTTTCTATTTCATTAAAATGTTTCATCTATCAATATTTGAAGTGGTCCAGTCTCTGTCAACCTCAGAAGAATGTAAGAATCCCTCAGACACAGGGAATATGCACAATCAAGTAGGTGATTCGTCTTTTACAGGAAGTCTAAGACTATTGTTTTGCAGATTGGAAGCTCCAACTTAAGCTTAGTATTAGGTCTTATGTTACCTGTTATCTCAGCTTACTCTTTACTGCTGTATTTGGACCAAAGACATTTGCCATGTAGGGCAGCATGGTCCGTCTTCTGCTACTCTCAAGGGAATAAACTGGATCGGAGAGAGCTTCTTCCGTGAAGTATCACATGTTGTTATAGTCAGGAGAACAGCCAAGTCAGTGTGGGTACTGATCCTGAGGCATAGAACAGCATCCATGAAGGAGACCAGGAAATGGTCTGCTTTGATTACTGGGACTGCTCTTATAGAATGGACTAATATCTTCTTTTCTGCCCAGCTGAGACTGAAAGGAAATCTTAGACTGCTATAGATTCAGGGCCCGACGCTCTGTACATTACTTAGGTCACAGACTATCAGAGTCTCATGCTCAGATGCAGAAAAATAGAATCAGCATAGTTCACCTTTGAAATTATTCTTATTTTATAAGAAACCATAATTTCTTCAGCTTGAGCTAATCTGACTACTTCCACTCTGCCTCCACCAACAGGTAACAAGTATGGATTCAGTATTCATTTCTTTTCATAGGATATTATTTTCATTACATGAAAAGAGACAGGAAAAATCCCAGCAGGATAAAATGTATGTAAGAACAGCAGTCTTTTTACTTTGAATTATAGATGAGCCATGCTTTGCCAATTTTGTGTTATTCCAAAAGATATCCTACCTTCCATAAATAATCAATCAGGAAGGAGTGACATCACATACTCTGAGTACTTTCAAGTATACCAGTCTTTGCCTCAAGAGTAATTTAAATGAAGTTAGACCACTGTGAGCCTGACTCACTTTTTCAGAGGAAAAGAGACAGCAATAGAAGCATCTTCGTGATGATGAAAAGGTCAAGAAACAGTTAGCAGGTGAGGAGGGTAGCCATTCCCCTCCCCCCTTCCCCCAGAAAGCCATGGTGCATCTAGCCAGCCTTCCTTTCTTAACTGCTCGGACAGCAAAGGATGGGAAGCCCATCACCAAGAAAGCAAGCCACCACACTAGATGACACGTGTTGAGAACGCAGTCTGTCATGAGGAATGTGAAGAAGGGAAGAGGGTGCTGGCTCTGCAGGGCTCCACACACTTTCAAGACAGCTTTCTCAGAGTAGCTTCTACTTACATTTCCGCCCCCAGCAGAATGTTTGATGTTATCCTTGGAACCACATCTTGACTGAACTTTGCTAAAATCGATCTTCTTGTTTAAAATCCTAACCTAAAAGGAATTGGAGGTAACATTTTTCTTTCCAGGTACTGGGCAGAGGGAACTGGAATGTGGAGTACTAGAGAGGCCCTCAGCTCCCTTCCACCCATGGTCATGTAGGAGAAGAAACTACAGTGCAACTGAACAGTAGCTGTGTCATGGAGTATGAGCCCCCATTTTCCTGGAACCCTGAAGGTCAAGCTCTGGAGCTTTAGGTATACTAGTTTTATAGATATAATCTCAAAACAGGAAGAATGAAAAGTGGAAACTTGGATCATCTGTGAAGGAAACAATGGGGCTCTGTTTTACTCAGTACAGTACAGTGTAGGTTAGCCCATGATCTTGAAGGATATGCCAGTGCAACTCCCAGTCCCATGTGGACAGTCTTCAGTTATTAACCACCGCCTGCACTTAACTGTTCTGTTAGCCCATACTGTGTAAGTGAGGATCATGCTGGGTCTGGCTGACAGTTTTAAGTCAGGATTCCCATTCATACAAGAATTCATGTTCTCTAGGAGGGTCAACAAAGAACCTCAAGGTCTGCTTTGACTGCGGCTATGTCTTTTAAAGGCCCCCGGCTTGTAATAGCTCCTGACCAACCATTATCCATTATAGGCCATTTGGAAACATTCCTTCCATATGCCAAGGTAAGAAAACCAACGTCCCTCCGTCAGCTGGCTTACATTAGGTCATCTAGACATCACCCAGGCTTTGGTTTCAGCCTCAAGGGTTGAGGCAAAATGTCTTAGTTCTTTTTTCAGGAAGTCAAGCATTCATCCTGAAAACCACAGCAAATCAGGGCCTGGAAAGGCATTACTTGCTGTAATATACTGTAAGAGTCATAACTGTTATAATTTCTTTCATCTGCCTTTTGAACTTGGCATGTTTTAAGGACAAATAAAATAAATATAGAAGGAAGGACTTAGCTTTGCTATGCTCATTGCTGTCCTCTGTTTACTTTCTTTGAGAAACCTCTTCATAACTTTAAAAAACCCCACATCTTTAAGGTACAGTTTATCGTCCGCACAAACTCTTAATAACTTTAGTTTAAATGTGCAGTCTTCTTGAGAGAATTATCAAGTCTATGGGTATTTGCAGAAAAAAATCTAAAATTCAAAAGAGCATAGAATCCTATTTTTAGCTAGGCAAGGCTTAAATCATCAGTGCCTGTCTAACAAGAACAAGACAGTTTGTCCCTTGCAGAAAAATATCATTGGCAGCTCTCATCAGGAGCCCAAGGCAAGGACCTCTTGTCAACATTTAAATTCAGAAGATATGATGGTTAGGCTGCTCTCTAGGGCATAACAAAACTTTCAATGTAAAAACTGTGGGGATAGCACAGGATGAATAGCTACCATTAAATATACCGAATTCTAAGTTTTATGTACGTGGGGGAAGTACTGATTCTCAAACTGTGAAGACTGTTACATTTAAAACCTCAATAATAGATTATCTTCAGAAGGAAAATCATATCAATTTTTATGCCTATTAATAATATTTAATATAATTCTGGGAATGAAATAGAATTTATAAGATCCATTTTACTAACTTATGGGAATGAAAGGTATTTTAAATTTTATTTCATAAATTTCAACTTAATCATTAAAGTCTCAAGTGAATCACCACTAAATCATTAGAACTCAAACACTGATTCTGATTCACTTATTGTAAGACTGGAAAACCAAGTTCAGCTCATAGATCTGTTTGACCCTAACTTTAATTAATGATTTGACATTTTTTATGACTTCCAAAATAAATGATTCAATTCAAATGACTCACCTTGCCAACATCACTTAGAATGTTCCAGAGTCTCAAAATTCCTTTGGTTCACAGAAAAGCTAAAACAGAAGTTGCCTCATTTTTTTAAGCTACATGTTTGTCTCATCCACTTCTTAAAAGAGTAATATTAATTTAAAATTTAGATTAAACTGGGATTGAGGACCTTGCCACAGATAGTTCCAATTTAAAATATTTAATAAGATAGTTGTAGTTATACCTTGAGTTAAATGAGCCAAGTTCACTCTCTCCAGCAGATCCATGCTTGTGGTTTGTTTGTTTGTTTGTTTCTCATTAGAATGAGCCTACGTTTGGGCTGAGAGGATTAACTATATTACTTTCTGCAAAGCTCATCATATTTTCTGCTGACTCATCTACTCCATCAGGCACTGGCTTGCCTGACTTAACTGCGCTGAGCTTGTCTGGTGACAGCAACTGGACTGTCACGTCAGAGACAAGAGACAGGTACAAAAGAGCTACAAACAGAAAGCAGCACATCTTTCAGTAGGCGACAAACAACCAAGTTGCCAAATGTCTGCATACCACTATTTTAAAAACTAGTTTCTGCACAAAGTACGGGGTTGCTCTGTCTTCCTTGATGAATCTTGGCTGGCTACTGACCACTAAAAAATGCTAAGATAATAACCTTGTAATTGAAAACAGCATGTCTATGGTCACATTTTTTTTTCAATGCAGCCAGATAATCAAGGTCTTTAACACAGCTCCCTGATAATTTCTATGACACCCTAATGTATTATATTTCCCATTCATTCTATAAGGAAGGAACTGTAAAACACTCTAGCCAAACACTCCGGTAAATATCTACACACAAAAAGTTTTCTTCACTCCCAATATTTGGGAAGATGTACTCACTATATGGGGGGTTTTAGGAGGAAAATGCTACAGTGTTGAGACATAAATATTTCTGTAAGGATAACTCAATTGCAAGCATCAATTTCCCCTTATAAATTAATCAATTTAAAGTTGGAGGTATTTTCTCTCTGCTTCTCATCTTGGTGAAGAATACCTCTGTTTCTACACAAAAGTCACAGCATTATTTCTTGGTTTCTTTCTGTCATCTGGTGCTGGGACAGGGGTGATTTTGAGTCAGTTTACTCCCCCTTCCCAGTGAAAAAAGATATTTAATAAATAATGCCAAGATTTTGAAGCTATTTTTTGTGATATAAATATGTCTTAACTAGCCCTTAAACATACTCTCTTGGGAAGCTTTATCTCTGATCAAAAACTTATACCAACTTTATGAATTGCCAATTTTAGTGGAGGTCAACTTGAAGTGGACTTGGGAGCATAAAACAAACAAAAGGAGAAAAATGGATGCCCTCGTATTTTAGTCTTGATTTAAAGAGTCTTGCAAATCTATGGCTAAAACTAAAGTAGAAAGAGTAGGGTAACCCTTAGGGACCCTCAAAGAAGGCCATAAATTATAAAATTCATGCTATAACATATCATATATTCATAACATATATTATAAAATTTCTGTGAAATTATATCAATGCCTCTTAATGTTTATTAAATCTTCCCTTTAGCTTCTATATGACAGGACATTTTTTTTAGGAATCTAAGAGATGATGGTTTTAAAAATCAGGACTCAAAGAAAGCCACTTTAGTGAAGAAGAATCTGCAGACACAGGAGTTTTCATAACAGGGAACCTGTCCCGTGTTGCTTGTCTGCAGTCTCAGCACCTGGGGAGCTGAGACAGGAGCAGGAGTTAGAGGCTTGCACAACCTTCTCTCAGAACAGGTTACTCCATTTTTGGCCAGCTTGTCAAAAGCTGTGGTGAGGAACTTTCCATTTAAGTTTAATAGTTTGTTAAACTGATTTTATTCAAGTTACTCTTCGAAATGATATGCATATAATTATTAAAAATTTGACAGGTGGCCATTTCTAAATGACCCAAAAGGTCTCATTCTCTCACATGGGTAAAACTGATGAATGTAAGAACAATGAGATGATTCTTGCTCTTTTTATTTTATTACAGATCAAATTTGTTAGAATTTGGGTTATATGTTATACTTTTGGCTTCAAAAGTTTCTTACACCTCATATTTTTACAGCATCGTCCTGTGAACTGTATCTGTCTGTGATCACGCTACTACAGCCATTCTTAATGTGGCCCATTGACCCCCTGCCCCTTCCTATCCCTGGCTCACCATTTGATTTTTCTTAAGCCCTTGGGCTTTCCTTAGAACAGAATCATGATGTGAAAACCACTGAAAGCTAATGGTAAGGAAAGAGCAGCAAGGAATTCTGGTACTGACAGTAGGCAGCAGTGCTGGAAGACTTCACACTTCAGCAAGAGCTTTCCCTGAAACCTAAGATAGAATTTTCTTGGCAAGGAGGAAGAATATCAGAAATCAGAGGCAGAAATCCTAGGAGACAAGTGGAGAAGTGACAGAAAAAGCACCCAGGTTCAGAGAAATCTGGGATCTAATGGAGCATTACGTCTTTGTTCACAAAGGTAGACATTGCTTTTTGTCCTGTATTTAAATAATAATTTAAAACATCCTTTAGAAGTTGAACCATCCAACAGGATAGTGATATTCTGAGACATATTAAACAGTATTTGTATCATTTCCCCCGCCCCCAGGCTTTATCCAAGCAAGATCCAGGTCAGAATAGAACGCATGAATGTTTGTTCTAGACCAGCTTCCAGGAGGAAAAAGAGCTTTTGTTCACGACAGTAGAGCTCTAAAGCAGAACGTTCATCGTTACAGTCCTGCTCACTAGAACTGTAGAGAGTTATCTGCTTACTATCAACCAAAATATCCACCCTTTTCACTATCTAGGCAATAAGAGGCGGGGAGCAACTTGGCAAACCACATTGTGATTCTGGAATAAACACTGGGAAATGACAAAGCTTCTCATTGGTCATAAAGGAAGGAGTTAAAACTGCAATCGCTAAAGTTAATACTCAGGTGAGCTCATTGTCTGAATCCAAGAGAAAACTCAAATCTGTATTACAAGTAACCTTTACTATTTCTAAACCTACAGAGCTGTTGAGATCCATTCAGAAATCAACTAACGAATTCTTGCATAAAATTAAGCTAATTAGTGTCCAACAATGATCAGAAGGAAACAACATATTGACTGATTTTCAATGTATTCCATCAGCTTGGTCCTCCATATGAGATACAGACTCAGCAATGAGGGGTGACCAGTGAGCTTGCATCATTCTCATCTCCTGAGACAATGCACAAAAATAACTTAACCATCAACGGGACTGGATTTCTGACATCAAGTATGTGATACCACAGAGTTCTTACCTGACCCCCTTTAGGCTGGTATTTGATGTTGTCAGTTGATCCGATTTTGGATTTGACATTCTTCAGGTCTGGCAGTGGCTGGTTAATAAGTCGAAGCTGCTTGGGAGTAGCTGGGGACTTTGGAGGGGTGCGAATGATGGCGACTTTCTTCTCACTAGGCACCAAGATGGCAGATTTTGGGGTTCCCGGTGTATGAGGGGTCCTAGGATAGCTGGGGGTTCCAGGAGTGCCTGGGGTACGTGAAGAGTAGCTTGGGGGAGTGCCAGGAGTGATCGCAGTGGATCCAGGAGTGGTTGGGGTTGAGGTGCCACTCTTTCCTGCTCTGCGAATTGGTTCTGACCCTATGTTAACAATCAGGTAACACACACGCACACACGCACACACGGAAAAGGAAGAAAAGAAAACCACACCCTGGCATTAGAAAGTTCTCTTCAAGGCACCCCTCTTCCCACATACAGTACTCATAAAGTACTTTATTCCAATGCATTCGGAACTCTATCAAAGACCACAATAATGCTTAAAGAGGTGAGATCCTCCTTTCCTCTCTTTGGATTCATAAGTTGGTGATATTTTAGAATATATGTTAGTATATAAATTAAAAATTTGTATTTCTCCTATTTAGTCTCATAGTTCTTAGTGGGAATCTTTGAAAACTATTCTTCTGTTTGTATGGTTACTGAGGCAGAGGGAAGACCTGGAGCTGGAAACAGCATACATTTATTGAGGGATGTTCCAACAAGTACTGCTGAATGGCACGTGGGCCACCCATTCCTCTCTCAAGCACATCCATTCTGAGTCTCAGATATACATATGATAGACAACTGTGTATTTAGTTCCTATAGTTTTAGCCTGTGTGGGTTTCAGTGTTCACCTCTCAGCTTATATTGAGAGCACAGATAGTACCAAACTAACACAATTATTAAGAGGGGTTTATATTCCTTGAGTTAAGTGAACCAAGCTCCCAATCTCTACTGAATCTAGCATTACACATGTTCCCTTCTCCCAGAGTTCACGAGGCTCCTGCAGAGAATTGTTTCCTTCAAGTTTTTCAGAAGTTGAATAAATGCCAGACCATTCCTGTGTGTAGTTAAGGAGATGGCAGGCAGACAGAGATGGGTGAAATGCTTAACTGCCTATGTGTGTTTTTGCTATTGCTGCACAGAGCTAAAATAGGTCCATTATTTGAAGATGTCAACATGTCAGTTATAGTCACTATCAAGTGACACAGTGCGGTAGACTTGTGTTCAAAGTAAAGCCAGAAGGGAACAGCAGCACTGGTTATATACAGACGCCTCTTAAGGGAAAAGTAGGGTGGCTCAAAGAAATGGATTCACGTAGAAAGTGCCATTTTGTTTCCATAGCAACACATACAGGCATAATTTAAGATGTTCTTTTGGAGAGCAGCTGAAGCCTTTGTGTTGTCTTACCCTCTTCTGGGTTCTTGTTTAGTGTCCAGTTCCAACCCTAGATGTTTGGACTTAAGTTCGCTCCCCTGGAGATTACCAACTTCTAAATGTCCTTCCTCCTAGTTCTTTACCAGCAGTTTATTTTTTCTATGGTAAGAATTTTAAGATTTTCACTGAGTTCTTAGAATAGAATTCAAAGGGTGTTACTATTTCATAAAATTAAATGGTGCTGGGCACGAGCATTGTAATGACAGCAACATTTTCACCATAAACAAAACCACTGAGTATCATGCATGACAGTTGAGTCTGAATAGGACAATTATGATTAAAAATCTGAAAGCAAATGCTGAGTTAAAATCAGCTACAATGTGGCAGTGGCCGCAGTTTCCACCGTTACACACCAGCTCCTAAATGACCGAGACCTGGGTCTCCAGACAGTGTGATAGAGCGCTTCTCACACACGGCTTCTTCCAAATCCATGTTAAGGTGTTAAGGCGGATTGTGAAGCTATCAATGGACTGAAGACCAAATCTTCCAAGGATGAGTTGTGCAGCATTACATAGGTTGTCCTCTCTGCTTGGCTAGTCTCTTGTCGTTGAATTGAGGGTGCTAACAAATCACCGTCAGAATTGTTAACTGAAGTGTTAACAGTTTTGTATCTAATATGTGTTAAACATGGTATCTATCTTCATTGAATAGAATAGCGGGATAACAATCGGATACAGGATTTACTAGATATAAACTAATATAAACTTCAGTGTAATGACTGGAGCCTTATACAGATTGCTATAATCGCTGATCAGCCCATCATGGGACAGGAATCAAAAGGAATTGAAGAAATTTCACAGAACATGTCATGTGAAAGGTCATTTGACATAAACATTTCTAAGACATTGAGCAGAATTTTCATTTTTTGCTTTGTGTGTATGCTTGTGAATAGTTCGTGTGTGCAGATGTCAAAGGTGGGCAGCAGATGTCTTTACTGTTCACCACCTTACATTTTGAATCAGGGTCTCCTGCTGAACTCAGGGTTCATAGATTGGTTGAGGTTCATGGTCACTGAGCTCAGGGACCCTCCTTCTCCATTCAAGGCTGTGCTTACAGACACCCAGCACTGCATGCAGCTTTACCCCAGTGCTAGGGAGGCAGATTCAGGTTCCTATGCTTTTGTAGAGCACTTGCGTATAGAAATATCTCTCTAACCTTGGATTTTAGATAGATTTTGCTGGCTTAAATCTAGGATTTAAGATGTAGAATCCTAGCAAGAGTTTAGCTTGTATAGATGTATAAAGCAACTCATTGGGTGATTTTCTCTATTAATTTCTTTCAGAGATTTTTGTTTTAATTTGAAATAAGAGAAAAGATCCTTTTAAAAGTTACTGTCTCAAACTCAGTAGATATTGAGACTATCTTTTCCAATTTCTTCCATCACTTGTTTTGACTCAAAGAATTATTTTGGAACAATCTCCAATCTAGATTTTCTAATTCTTATCTATGAAGATCATATCTTTTTAATATAGGTACATTCTTATTTAAATACTGCAAAATTAAATACACTTCTCTCTCACTTAATGGATTAGACAATGATTAAGGGAAGCCAAGCAGATAACCTACGGGTGGTCCGCCGAGCTGAAGAGATGGAGCTGCTCAGAGAGAACGAGTTCTCCTCCCTGTCTCCGGATACACCCCTCCGAGGAGGGAGGATGGAGGAAGGTCTTGGGAGCGAAGAACGCTTTTCGGGGCTCTTGGTGACACCATCCTAATTAGAGAAAGCAAAGACATGAGGTTCATCTTAGTTATGCAAATTAATTATACTACCCTGACCATTTTTTTCCTGGTAGATAAATTCTTTTATTATGAAACACCAATCTTCATATACTAATAAAACTTTCTATGACAGTAAAGTCCATATTTTCCGGTTGTCCTATCAGAATTTATCATCCTGGAGCGACACGATTGCAAGTGAATGATGGATTTCTGTTTCGGAGCAAGAATGTAGACGGAATGAACTTAGAAAAGTTATCTTCGTAATTTGTTAATTGTGCCAAGAGCTTCATTAGCATAACAGTATTTTTAGTCAGAAGGGACTGGAAGAGGGCTTTGCAGTATAAAATTACACCCAGGAACACAACCACCTATCCCTTAGAAGTGTGACAGGAACTCTTAAATATACCATATCAAGTTATAATATCATTTTCACTGCAAAATACTATTCACACTTTAAAGTTAAGGGTTAACTTTATAACTTAATAATTTAATGTATTTTTTTCAGTTCCCAGAGTTTGCCTGTGACAGAGATAGTAGTAGATCCTGATATGCCTGATGGAGAGTTCAAGTGTCATATTGAATACAACTTGCTGTTATTAGGTTTTATATTTTCTCTTGCATATGCTGTATGTGGAACATGTCACAATGGAAAGCATTTTATTTTGTTGGCTTTTAGATGATATTTCATAAAACAAATAAATAGGAAATAATAATGAATAGGATCGAGAAAATGGAAACTTATGCTTTTTTTCTAACATGGAGGTGGCCCATCAAAGTTTTTCAGTTATATTTGTTATTAATATGATCTACTGTTAAGACAGTCAAAGATTTCTAAATTTTACTGCTTTCCTTTCATAGCCACTTATTTATTTATCTGTGGCTTCATGAAGACAGGAGGAATATGCTCTCTGATGGGTTCCTTATCTGGGACGAGACTGACAGTCAGCACAATGGCCAATCCTAGGACATTACAAACTGCTAATACTTTTGTGAGTAAAATCACCCTACTCTAACAGATTGCAATGAGAATCCCTAAAATCATGAAGCCAACTTTCAAGGATGCGTTTCCATTAAAAAAAAAAACTGAACAGAGAATCAATCTTAAGATTGGAATAATATAATGGCAATAAGCAAATCTTCCTATGAGCTGGATCAAAAGACAAAGGCAAAGAGTAGATTCTGGATTGCCTAAAGGTTGTATGCATAGTTCTTATTTAACAAGAATATACATAACATATTCTTTATGGATTTTATGTTTGAGGTCCCCACACAATCTTCAGGCTCACCAGTTATGCTGTACTTTGCTGTACTTAGAAAGTGTCATGGGCGCCTGCAGGAATTGTTCCTCTAATAAGTGTAGCCTTTATGTTGGTAATATATCCATAACTCTATCGTATTTTAAGAATCTTGAAACAATACATATTTGAGGGTCAGTCATGGAAAATATTTACTTTAAAGATTAATAAAATTTATTTTTTGATTATCTGCATTACTTAACCAGAAAAAATGATAAGAAATATTATATGAGATCACCTTAGGAGAAAACACAAACTGGTCAAGTTATTTAGTTAGCTTAAATGACTTTTATGAATGCACAACAACACAGCAATATAATGTTTATATATCCTAAAAAGGCAACCAGCAATGAACAGACTCCTAATAAAAAATCCACAGCACTTAATTTACAGGTAAGGATAATCCTAGGGAGCCTGCATGCGAGGACAAGGGGACTGGATTGGAGGCTTTCACAGAGGCTGCGCTGTTTGCCACATGTCTCCTGGAAGACACTGTAAGAAATATAGACAGGAATGACAAAGCCAAAGAGATTACTTCAAATAATTACTTTGATTTGGCTGTTACAAAAATAGAGGATGAAACTGAGATTTTCATCCCAAGCCTTAACGGTGCAGACACTTCTGTGGAGGCATAAGCTCACACAAACGCACGTTTCTCTCCTCCCTGTGCTACCAGCACCTCGAGTGGGAAGTGTAATTGGGTTAGCACAAGTCATTATTTCTTGGTTGATTTTAGCAGAAAAGAATGGAAAGAGGAACGAAGAAATGACATTGCTTCTAATTAAGCATGAGACAAGCATTAGTATGAAGCACCAACCACGCAAAGCTTAAACAAAATAATGGAAGGGGTTGGTGAGCTTACTAATAAGGAGTAACTGAAACTCTGAGTTGAAGTGAATTAATAGCAGTAAATCAAAAAAGAGGGAATTTGGAGATTTAGGAAACTGTAAAGAGGTACATTAGATATTAGAAGGTGAAACAAATGACAAATCAAAAGCAGAAACAGAATAAACCTTTCTTTAGACACATGTAATTTAGAAGGGCAATGTTAGCTTTCTGGCAGTAATGTACATAGCATCTGTTCAAAGTTAAGTATGAAATGCCAGTCTCATGAGTTGCTTGGACCTGAAACAACTTGAAAACTTCCTGAAGTTTTCCCAACATGTCCACTTGAAACTTTTCTAAAGGGGAAATTCTCAAACCTAATTTCTGTATCTGTGACTAAAATTTTCTATATTTTAAAAATAATATAATACCAATAATTATTCCTATTTAATGAATACTAAATGACTATTGTATCTAGGTACTATAGTGTTTTATAAAGTTACTATGCTTAGTTTTCTCAACTGATTTTTTACAGGAAATTTAGAAGATTAAGATATAAAAATAAAAGATCATAATAGCTAAAAATGTTCAGGATTCATACATGATAACATACTAGGTTTTTCAAATCATAAATAAATAGTAGAGATCCAAATATCACTGCCACATTGCACTCAAAATACAGCTTAATATTTTTGAAGGCAATAAATGAGTTATATTACTTATAGTTTATTAAGTCACATGTCCAATTTAAAAGTACTCATATAAACATTGAATTTGTTCCCTTATCTAATAAAGACCCTCAGTTTGAGATGGCTATCAAATATTTGTCCAGTATTGGAAATTAGAAACTGTTTTTATTAATAACAAAGTAGAAGTGTAAAGTATTACCATGTTTGATAAGCTAAGAACTGTGATTTAAATATCATATATGATTGCAGGGACCCTAAAACTATCTCATTATCTACATATTGAAATCATTCAAATTGTTCATTGTAAATTTAGGATTTCATTAGTATATATTTAATTAAGTCTCTTCCAATCATAAAAAGAGCAAAATAATTCATGTTGGTTTCTGTCTTTTTAAAACACAGTTGATGATATAAAGAAATTAAAAAAGGAAAAGGGTTTGATACACATACGAAATAGTTAATCATTAATAAACACACATTTAAACAATACTTCATTAATAAACGCACATTTAAACAATACTCTATTTACTATTACAATTTAGCAAATTAAAAAATAGTATGACTTTGACAATATGCACACTAACTCTAAAATACAAAATTGTCTTTAACCAATAATTTTGGCAAGAGGAAATTGTCCTAAGGAAATTCACTGGCACAAAAGACCTCAATGGCAATATTACTAAAATGTCAACAGGAAGTAGCTTGAAAGCCAGATATCAGGACACTGATTATGTTGTGATGAATTAATAAAATGGAATGTCAAATTGCCATTGAAATGGTTATAAGAAGGCTTCTATTTGATTAAAAATCAATAGAAAGTATTTTATTTTTATTATTAAACCTATAAAGGTGGAAAAAAGCAAAGATTTTTTAAAAATCAAAATGATAACTGTAGTCATCTTTAGTGAAAAGAATTATACTTAATTTTACTTCCTGCTCATCTACATAGTTTCATTTAGACTTATTTTGTTATGAAAACAATGAAAATGTAAAATACTATGTTAATTATAAAGGCTAAAGTAGGTTCTAAAACATGTACATTGTTCTTCCCCATTGTTGCCGACTCACTGTGCAGTTTCTGTGCTTTACCTGCTCACAGAGAGCAAGCCCGGCTGTGTCCTCACCAACTACCATAATTTTCCATTCTAGATGATGCCACTTTTGGTCTGGACGCTCTAGAGATCATGCTGGGTAAGCACACAGTTTAAAAATGGACATTTAAAAATAAATACAATTGTCTACATGACACCTAATTTTGTAAGACATTGAATGGACACTAAAAGTAGAGTAAAGGACAAAGCAAGCTTGGATCACTCACAGTGACTTTGTCCTTCGTCTGTTTAAGTGCACTGGGAGCCTGGGCAGATTCACCACTTGCTCCTGTTGAAAAGAAATGAATAAATTAGTGACTGAAACTCTTGTAAGTGTGTTTCCCAATACCTGGGTGTTCTGTTATGTCATGAGACTAAGGCAAAGTACAAATTTTTGCTTTTGAGGCTCAAATTCAGTAACCAAAGAAACTTGGGTAACAGCAATACATTATGTGGCTTTAAGTGTGTGTGAATTAACAGAGATCAGAGTCTACCGAAGCGCAAGGGAGAACAGCGCACACACTCATTTTCTATGGGACACCAAGGTACTTTTGAGTATCTACTCTGTACACATAGAATCTATAAATCAGAAGGCACAAAACCGAGGCAAATGCTGCCTGGTGTAAAGGAAAGGAAGCTGAAAAATTGTTTTTGAGTTGGCATGATACAGAAATGCCCAACCCTTCTGTTCTAGAAGCAAGTCACTGGCTTTTGTACAGGTCTTTCTGTATTTTACCTCCCAGACTGTTGTGATCAGCAAACCCCTTTGCCTGTGCCCCTCGTCACTTTGGGGTATGGTTGACATACTTGCCTGATGTGAAAATGTACCATAAGAAGGGAAGTAAAACGACTTTTCAGGGACAGAGGATGAGAAACTGCAAGTCCAGCAAATACAGAATGTGTTCTAGGCATGCACTTCCTGTATGACACAGTTACCACATCTGTTACTGCTGTTTCTCTCGACGCTGCTCTTTTCTTTGCTTCTGGTCTCAGCTTTAAATTCATTTATCTCTAACACATTTTGTGTGGACAACTTACCTGATTTGACTTCAATATCTCACAACATAAAATCATCATTTGTTTTTTGAAAAATAACAGTATTTGACCAATATCCCCAGAGATAAAATGCTCTAGTTTGTATGTTAACTTTTTCCTCAATTTTCCTTGGTAAAGAAATTTTCAGGAAAAAAATATCCTTATAAGCCTCATATGTGTTCTACAAAGGGGTCCTATGCTATGTGAGTTTTTATAGAAAGACAATGGCTGCCTATGGTGTGGTTTATTCTATGTAGGACTGGCTGAAGGATGTTTCAGATTCTAGCACTGATTTTTTTCTTCAAAAAGCAGTGAAAATGATATCATTCACTACTTCTATGACATATCCAAAATTCCTACATATATAAACATATATGTAGTTTGATTTAATTCAGCAACATCTAAATTTTGTATAGGCTTCCTGCTGGGGTCTCTTGGTATTTGACTAGAATTAGGGGAGACTCTAGTTAGTCTCCAAATTTAAATTTCCCTTAAAGAATAAATAAGGAGGGAGGTAAAGTGAATGCCACTGACATGCTGGAGTCACAAGAACTATTTACAGATTATTTTATTTTTCCTCTTAATTTCCACAACTTGGACAGCATTTTTAGCTTTCCAGGTAGAATGCAGGATTTCTTAAAGATATTCTGTTTCTGTAAGTATTTCTCTGAGTCAAATACAATTTCTAAAAATTTAACAGAATTGATAATTAAGATACAAGATGTGGAAATGGTATGTTAACTCCTAACTTCTAACTTTGAAGTGCTTTGTACACTGAGCCTTTCTCAAGATTTGAATATGGAAGAGCCTTCCCAATTCAAATCTTGGCTTGAGTATTGTTCTTACATAAATCACACCATATGGTTCCTATATGTAGGACATAAACACACACTACTCAGAACTTTGGTCAGGCATGGTGTTGCACGCTTGCAATCTAAGCATTGGGAAAACTAAACCAGGAGGATCATGAATTCAAGGATGATCTGGGCTACGTACCAATACCTTATCTCAAAACCCAGCCCCAATCTAAGCCTTAAATATAAATCTAAACAAACAAAAATACTAGCAACATTTGGTGGTTGTTCAGGAAGATCAATGACTCTGACCTTTTCTCCAGTTAGGCTAATGATGTCATTTCTAATCTTTAAGGTGACCCATTATATTAATGATGTCATTCCTAATCTTTAAAGTGAACCATTATATTAAGCCATTTGTAATGTATAATGGAAGGAATATTTCTTCCTGATATTTTGTAGACTATAAGCATATCCACAGAAAATTAAGATTATCAGAGCATAATTAGGCATATAAAATACCCCGCTACTCTACAATGAAATTTCAAAATAAAACTGCATTGTAGAGAACTGTGTAGACTTTTACTATGATTTATTTTAATAGCAAATTTTATGTGCATGTGTGTTTTGCCTGCATGTCACTACAACATATGTGTGGTACCATAGAAGCCAGAAGATGGGGTTGGATCCTCTGGAACTGGAGTCATAGAAGGTTGTGAACTGCCATGTGGGTGCTGAGACCCAGACTCAGGTCTCTGAAACAGCAGGTAGGGTTTGTAACAACAAAGCTGTCTCTAACGACCCTTTAAGATGATGTCTACCATGCTTCATCCCTTTGTTCTACTAGATTTTTAAGCTTATAGATGTGTATATTTGGGGGTGACAGAAATGAGCACGTGACAAAACAGATACGTGTCTCCCTTCTCTCTTATACTAAGGTGTCTTAATGCAGCCCTGGCTGGTGTCACACTGGAGGTCTTCCTGGAGAGCCACCTGACTCTGTCTTCCAGGGCTGAGGCTACAGAAATCATAATTTAATTAACTCTTAAGGGACTGGAGTTTTAACTTAGTATTCTTCTGCACATTAAATTATAGTGAACCATTTGACAGTCTGGATTAATAACTTTAAGAAAATCCCAAAGACGGAGTATAGAAGGTTGAAGGGAGTTCATTTTGGACTTGAAGAATAAAATCTGATAGGATAGACATCATTTCCTTTCTTTCTTCATCTTTTTTTCCATCTAAAGCAAAATAATCTTGAAAATTAGTATTACTTCAAGAGGTTTTTCATTTCCAATGTCTAAGTCAGTATACATTGTCTCAGTAAAGTCAACACCAGTAACAGATTTGGCAGTAACAATTGAGAAAATAGAACAAATATACATGGATTTAAGCATGGAGGAGATAAATAAGCAAAATAATGAGAATGCATACCACGGTTAAATTCATCGCCATCGTCTAACCAAACACACAGAATGAAAATAGGGATCCCCAGAACGTGACACTAGAGCACAATGCCAAGATACAATCACTCACTGATATGTCTGAGCAATGACAAAGAGACAGATGGTCATGACCTCTTCTGCAGGGAAGGAAAAAAAAAGAATAATGATACAAGACACTTAAATAGCGAAACTGTTCATGATTGCTGAGATTTGGAAGTAAAACAAAATGAAGAAGCTTCTACAGTAATGAGGTTAAAATAAAATACATCTATGTTTGCCAGCCACATTGCAGAATTGAACAGTCACCTGTGGTTTTCCGCTTAACACAGGAGAGATGAGTTGGTCTAGTGTATTTGATAGCAGGTTTTAAAATGAGTTTCCTGGAAGGAGAGTGGGCCTGAACTTCTGTTTTTTTAGCAAGTTCAGCCTTCTTATAAACTGCTATGAATAAGAAAACACAAAACAGCATACCATCAGGAAGTTAAATAAACACTTGGAACAAAAATGAACAATTTTTTTTTCATAAATAACCAGTAAGGCTTTTTTCAGTCGAGTAAAAGGAAATTAATTTAAAAAAAAAACCACATTTTAAAAGAAGTGATTGTTAAATGAACCTTTTTTCCTCCTCACTTCGTCCCTGGAGACCGTGCTAGGTTCCTTTTTAGCTACTTTTCTCTCAGGAGTGGAAATTCTGCCTCTCCCGGTTTTAAAGGGTTTCTCTTTTCTATGTTTTTCAAGAGATGGTCTCCGAGCTTCCTTCTCAGCTTTCTCCTCTTTAGGGATAGTTTCTAACTGTTCCTGTACGATGCTTCTATCATCATCTGCGGAGCAAAGCAAACCATGGCAACAACAACAGTCATAGCATTAGTGACAGATGCATAAAGGCCGTCATATACTTAACACAATGTCATGTAAATAGAGACCCTTTTTTTTTTTTTAATCTTTAAAGTGAAAACCAAATTCCCCACTAGGCTATGGGTTTTATTTGAGAGAAGATTGAAAAAGAAGCACACCTTGAGTGTCCACCCACAGGCTGTCAGCATCCATGATGGAGTCATCAATGGTGGTCTCGTCTTTGTAATCGTCGTAGGTTTCTGTTTTATATTCTGAGTATGCGACCTCTTCTCTCTCAGGGGTAGCTGGGGCATCTGGAGAGCCATCCTTGGGTTCTGCCTGGGCTTCTGCTGCCATCTCTACTTCAAGCTCTTCGTCATGAGGGCACGGTCTCCTTTCCTCCTCAGGCTGAGCTAGAGCTGCAAAGCGCACACTATGGGACCCTGACTCCCCTTCATCGGTTGTGGTCTGCACTACGGTGATGAAGTCATCCTCGATGGTCACTACAGACTCAATTCCACCTTTGTGTTCACCTGGGCAGGTCTCCACAAATTCCTCTCTACTTCCTGGGACCACCAGGTCCGTAATCTGAAGGGTGTCTGAGCGGAAGAGCAGTTTGTCATATTCTCCCCTAGCTTCTATCTCTTCCTCACTTGGGACCTCTGCTGGTTCAGACACGACTGCTTCAGGCTGTGGCTGGGTGGCATCAGAAGGTATGGCGGGGATATCTGGAGCCTCTGTGCTTTCTTCCTTTGGCAGCTGAATAAATTCCATTTGAACTTCGGCTTTCTCATCTGTGGATATGTCAGCCTCCGAAACAGGAGGTGGGCAAGGGATTTCCACAGACAGTTTGCAGACAACTTCATCTTGAATCAGAGATGACTCTGGAGAGGTTTCTTTCTTGCCCTCATCCGGCTTGAGGGACTCCATCGTGAGGCTCTCATGCTCACCACTGGACTCATACGACTCTTCTTTGTCTACAGCCTCCTGATGCACCAGGTCAGGCTTTGCTACCTTCTCTTTGACTTCTGTTTCGCTGACTTTGAGACCTTCTTTCATGTGGCCAGACTCAATACCCAGGAATGAATCGTCTTCTTGAGGTCCTTTGGATGAAAGGGTCAGTTCCTGAGAAACCTCGAACTTGAGGTCTGTGGCATCTACATTCAGCCCTGAAGCCATCTGTCCAAAGTCACTGACTTTTATATCTAATGGACTTGGCTCAGCTTTCGTTGTAGTAAAATCTAGCCCTTGATCGGCTTTTGTGGTTGGTTCCACCTCAGCCACCTCTGGCACTGAACTGAGACCTTTTGCTGCTTTCTCTGGTGACGTGTCTTCACCTTTGGCAGAGGCTTCCTCATAGGTTACACCTAACCCAAAGATCTCCACTTTTTCGCCAGCCTCTCCAGTCTCCTTGGCAAGTTCCTTTGATTCAACATGCTCTTCACTCTTTTCAAGGACAGTATCCAGTTTGTCATTAGTTTTCCTGTCATGGTCAACCTCCCGACTCAGTCCTGATTTGTCAGCAGAAGTGGGTGGAGATGCCTCTTTCTCAGCAGTGAACTCATCTTTGACTCTTCCTGCGGCTGCAAGTTTTACTTCAATCAGTGAAAGGTCTGTCGCCAAGTCTCTACGGACTTTGTCATCAGTTCCTTCATAAAATGAGCCACTCTCTCCTGACAAATTCTCACTGTCTTGAACTGGTGATGGTAGAGGGACTGTGTATTTATTGAACACACAGTATCCCATGTCTTCAAGTTGACTGTCAGGTTTTCCAGTGACTTGGTTTTCATCAGCGACAGGTGGCAAACCCGTACTACTCTCTGCAACCACAGCCTCGGATGGAACTGATTTTCTCCTGGCAACCTCAGCATCTGCACTCACAGATGCTAACCTGGACCTGGTTCCTGCCAGATCTAGCATCTCAGGCAGGTCAGGGGCCATGACGGTACCATTTTTGTAATATTCTTTGGCTGGGAAAGGTGACTCAGAGGACGTCTCAATCTGAATAGTTTGTTCTCCAGTCACTTTTACTTCCTCTGCCTTCTCGCCTTCCTCTTTGCTCTCTACTGGGAAGCAAGGGACCTTCTCCACTGCAGGTGTGGTAGGGGGAAGGTAATCATCTCCTTCATCCATGCTTCCGCTCGTGTTAGTTAAAATATCAGAAGCCAGAGGGGAAAGATCATGGCCCCGGCCAAAGTTAAACCCAAGGGCAATGGAATCGAGGCAAGACATAGGCAAGTTGATGGACATGCTTCTTTGTTCTATTGCAGACCGTCCACCAAGCCCTAAACTTCGACTAAGGGTCAAATCATCCTTGTTCTTACTGTGGAGGTCCCTTTTCTCCCCATAAACTTTTGGGTCAATAGTGAACATCCTTTCCTGAGGAGAACTTGGTTCTTCAGGTAGCTCAGATGGATAACTCTGGGCGAGAGAGCTGTATCCTGCTTCCTGTGCTGGAATACTGGGCTGGGATTCTTTTGCCTGAAATTCCTTTTCATCACGTTGGTCCTTGGGAGGTACAGTGTCAAAAGATTCCTGGGTACTTCCTCTTGCATCACTCAGTTCATAGTAATCACTGCCCAACTGCTGGCTTTTTGCCCCTTCTTCCTTCAATGCAGATGTTTCAAAGTATTTGGACATTCCCGATTTATCTTCATAAAACGGCATCCCAACCTCAGCTATTGTTGCAGACCCAACTCCTTCAAACTTATCTTTGACAGCTATGTTCTCCTCAAAAAGTTCCTGGGTTTCTCTCGTTTCACTCACTGACTCTGCCTCAGATGTAACTTCTCCCAAGGTCTCAGAGGTCGCGGCTTGAGCTGAAAGGGCTTGTTCCAGACTTACAGGGAAGGAGTCCTGTTTCAACTCATCGGTTACATGTTCTCGATCTTTCTGTTCTTTGGAGGAAGAATGCTCGGTGGAGGTCTGAATTACACCTGTTTCATCATCTCTCAATTTGGGGGGTTCATGTTCTTTTGCCACAGCTTCGTCAATGGAAACCACTACTTTTTCGTCAAGCTTTGTGCGTGGTTCATCTTCGGTGAGTGTAGGTTCCTGTCCACTGGGGACTGAAGCTTCTTTCATCTCTTGATTTGTGGTACCCTTTTCTTCCCCTGAAACACTTTCCCTGATATAGCCTTCTCCGACTGGACCATGAGCATCTTTCGGTAGGGTGACAGCTTCTGAGACTGGAACATCTGCCTTCCCTGCTTTATCTTTCTGTAGCTCCTCATCTCTCGAACTATCTTTGGCAGTAGCTAGGCCACTGGTGTCCTGCAGGGACGTTTTGTCATCTGGTTGGAAGAAGACAGGAGCCAAGGGTTGTGGCACTTCTGTGATTTTTTCATTCTTTATAATATCTAGAGGAAGAGTGAAACTTCCACCATGAAAGGGACTTGGCATGGGAGAATCAAACTGCTTCCCTTCCCATCTTGGAATATCCTCCAGCATGTCTTTTTCCCTCATGAGTGTCAGAGGGCCGGGAGATATTGGTGCAGCTAAACCCCATTCATCTTTCTTGGATTCCATTGGCATTTCAATGAACCAGTCTTTCTGCTCTTTTGGAGCTACAGGCTCTGCAGACAGGCCGATGCTAGGTACTGCTATGCTTGGTTCTACGTTCTGTTTTATGTCTTCCAGGTTGGTACCAAAAGTGTGCGCAAATGGGACAGGAGGTGACTTTTCCCCTTCCATGTCTTGAACATCCTTTTTGTCTTGGGGAGTTTTAGTTATCTCTGGCTGAGGAACTAAGGCAGCATGCTCAAAATCTTCACCAGGCTTGCTCTGCATCTCCAACTCCTTTTCTCCCTTGTCTAAAGGCTCAGCGAAAGAGGAAGCCAAATTCTGCGGCTCAGGGAATTCCATCTTCGAGGCTGTAAGTAAATCTGAAGTAATTGGGTTGGTTTTTAAGCAAACAATAGGCAACAGCTTTCGGGCAGTGAGCTTAAAGTCATACTTACAAATAGGAGATGAATGAGCGGGTCAAGGGGAAGCTATGGACCATGCAAGCATGCTGCCCACTGAAGGATGAGCATGGAATGTTAGGACTGGAATCTGTTTGTACTAGTACTGAGTAAAGTCCTCTTCTAAATGAACTGTACACACATTATAACAAGAGTTGGCCTCGGACTACTTATCCTTTTTATTTATTTGGTCTCTTCTATACACCATATGGTGCATGTTAGAAGGAAAAAAGAAAAATCTTCATTCTGTTGATTGAGGTGGAAATGCATCCACATCAAGGAACTAGGTAACAGGGCACAAGAACATGGACATGAAGAATATTTCCTGAGCATTTCAAGTTTTCTTACTTGGAAATGAGCTGGCAGGTCCTGGGACACATGCCAAGAAACTCATGATGGTTCAAGTATTAGCAGTTTCAGGTAACTTGATGAAAAATTGTGAGGACCCATATGGGAATACTGAAAGTATTGACAAAAGGTTTTAGAAAATAGCTGAGATTAAAGTAAACATTTGATGTCAATTTTTACATACATGACCTAAGAATTGATGAGGCAGTTTGAACTAAATTTTTTAACTCGCAGTCATGGTTTCTGAATTTTAACAGTGGGAAGAGCAAGACATTTTTCAAAAAAGTCAACTACTACAATATCTTCCTCCCCAAGGTCCTGACGTCATTCCCTGGACATGGTCAGCTAGCAAAACACTGGCTCTTGTTGGCCTTGGAAATACTTACTTGACATCAAATAAGTGACATGGTCTCAGCTTTATTTACATGCCAATCCAAGTGTCTCTTTTAAACTTTTTCTTGTGGTCATTAGCACTTAGCTCAGTGATTTGAAAAAGATTTGGTGGTGACTCATAAAAATTCAGCCATCTCCTGAACATGGGGCATCATGACCTGATAGGACTGTGGGTGCTGTTGTAATGAGAGCAATGAAGTAGTTAAAACCTGTAATGAGATCTAGATGGATGAGAACTCAAGCAATACAGGCATGATACGGGGTGCGCTGCCCCGCAGAGACAAGGACAAGGAGAGCACCGACAGGTCTTGAAGGAAACCAAACCAGCAGCATTTGTTGAAGCATAAAAACAGCACTCTGCGCTGCAAACAAAAGCAATTGTATCACGTAAGCCTGTACGTGCTAAAATCCAGCTCTAGGGTTTGAAAAATAAGCGTATGAATTGCTGTCCCAAAACATAAAAACAAAAATATACATGTATTAGCAATGTGACTGGCAAACACTGGCGATGAGGAGGGAGGGGGTAAACCAAGGAAGAGTTCACACAGCATTATCAGCCTGCGGCAAAGCGTATTGTATCATGGCAAAGGACGACCAACAGCAGCAGGGGACAACCAAGCTCTCACAGCATCTGCGCAAGCCAGTCTCCGCTCATGAAGCCTGAAATGGTGTCTTATGACCATGAGAAGACCCAGCGGTGGACCAGCGTTGGAAAGGCATTCGCTTGGTGAAAACCACGGCAACACATTTGCGGCACGCATGCAAATCCTGACAGACACACACCTTCCTTGATAGAGGAAGGTATTTTTACGTCCGAAGCTACCTCCGTGACCTCTTTTACACTTTTCTCATGTGGAGCCCCTGCCAGGGCACTGTCTTCTGGAACTATCTGCGCCTCTGCGCTAGATTCCACTTGGCCCTCACTGAGGCCCTGGGAGTAGTCTGAGGTCTTAGCAGCCCCATGCTCTTTCCCAGGAAGGACGGCAGGTTTCATGTCCTCAGCCATCGCACCCTTTAGCGTTTCTTCTTTTGGGGGATGGAAAAGATGTTGACATCATGACCACAGAACAATACACGAAAGGACAGAGATATTATTCATGGAACACTTTCAGCTCCATTTGCATGACCATGAAAAGGTATGGTTTTCCTTTCCATCTGAGCAAATTAATAACCGAATGACAGACACTCAATGTGTGCTCAATGGAAATTTATGATGTATGATAGATTTGCTGATAGAAATGACTTTGAAAACTAATTAAAAGACTGTGCTATTCATTTTAAAAACTGAGAGCTGAAAGGGTTTTATGGATTGATCACCCTCATGGGAACGGCAGCAAGATGAGCACAGGGGGAAGGCTTGTTGGAAATTAGAGCTGGTGTCGCCCCAGCAGATGGAGAGAAGACAGATGTACTGGTGTGCTGAAAACAAGCTTCCCAGTTGGTTAGACACGTGTTTTCTCCAATGCAGGAAGTCCCTACACAAGAATCCCTGACGGCATTATTTAAAATGTGGAATCTTTGAAAGACGATTTTAGGAATAAAATAGCCTTAGCCTCAAAGTGTTACCTACTCAATTGCTTAATGGTTTCACCAAAAAGTCCATCAGAGTACTCTAAATACAGTGCTTCTAAGGAACGGCTATAAAGGCCAATTTATAATGCCTCCGTTGAATTATCTGATACTCAAGGAAAAGAAAGATAGAAAGTAAAATACTTTTTAACTTGAGAATTTGATCACTTTTTCCCTTGAATACAACTATTTTCACACTGCTTAGTGAGTAATAATTCATATATAGTTCTTTCTGACAGTAAGAAAAAGCATCCATATTAGCAATATCATCTTAGGATGCAGTTCAAAATAAAATCACTAAGGAAAGATGGTGGAGTCGCACTCAGACTCCTCTCAAAGGTATAACTGGAGATAATGTCAGCCTTCGAATGCAAACATTGAGCTTCTGAGGGCCACAAATTATTTCCTCATTTGCTTTCATTTACATTTCAAATATCCACAAACATAAATGAATCCATTTTACCCTTTAATAAATGAAAGGAAACCACATTAGCTGTTTTAGAAGTCCGCAGTGGGAAGATTCTCATGATAGTCCCATAAAACAATGAGACATTGTGCAAAAGGCCTTGTGGGAAAGACTACAGATGGAAAGGGAAGGAATTTTCTTTTGTAAGAAATATTAACACCCCGGAGGGTGGCAGAACCCCTCATCTATCTTTCCACATTTTCCACGCAGACATTTTTGTGTCTGTAATTTAATTTTGTAATGGATATTTTAAAAATTTCAATTCTGCTTTATTATCAGAAAATTTTATAATGCATACATTTTTATTCCAGTTAAAGAACTTTAAGTGTATCTAACTTCGCCAGGGCCAGCTCATCAGATGAAGTCTAACCAAGTTAATTTATTAATTTTTAGATTCACATAATGTTTTGGCCTTTGATTTTTAGATTTTGAATCAGGTATGCTTGTGTCCCTGTACCTATCCCTTAATTAAAAGTCTCCCATATATTTCAGTCACCTTCAGTTTGCACTGTTAAAAGTACTGAGCTTCATTTAATGCTGGGTATACTCCTTAGGGTGCCAAAGCTGCTGGCGCTTTTCGGTTTTCGAAATGACTTGGGAAAACCTCACTGTCATGCCTGTGCCTGGCAACCCGCGAGCTGATTCCTGGCTCCTTGGGATCGTCTGTCCTTGTGTCCTTGGCAGCACACACTGTCTCTCGTGAAAATGAGCTCTTCTGCACGCTTCATGCCATTGTTCTCACCCGGAAATACTTCTGTCTAAGCAAAATATCTTAGTAGTATTTTCTTCTTTAGAAAAACATCCCTAGTTAAAATGAGACAAGTGGAAGCCCACACCCCCTGAATTTTATTCCCATGATATGCCGCCACACAGGCAGCTCAGCTGTGTGGAGCCAAGGCCCCGAGTCCCAGTTGTCATTTTAGACCAGCTCTGCTGAGGCGAGTCAAGAACAACCACTAAAGAAACCCCCAGTTTCTTACTGAGTGACATGGAGTCATACATTTTCATCCCATAACATTTATTCAGCTCTAAGTGTATCTTTATTCTTTATTTTTAAAGAACAAGCATATGAATATAATTGTAAAATAGTGACTTCCATTTAAGACTGGTCTTAATAATAGTCCATAATCTAAGAAAAAAAACAAACATTAGGGTCATCTTCTTCAGTTTAGGTAAATAATATGTTCTTACTGAATAATTTATTTACAATGAACAAAAAAGGAGTAATATTTTAATTGAATTATTTCTTCTTCCTTTTTCTTCTCCCTTTCCACCTCATAGGAGCAATGACGTAAAAAAAAAGGAAATGCTTATTCGTTTCATGTAACACATTTCTTTCATATAAATTTTGAGGCATTTCAGTGGAAAACTCCTTATCTAGGGACTTCCCTTTCATGTGGACAAAACAAGCTTGTGCCCACCCACCACCCACACAAAAGCACACTGAACATGATGTGTGTGGACAGAGCTGCAGGCTGGGAGGAGGAGCCAAAGGGCACCATGCTCCTGTTCACCTTTCTCCTGGTCTAAGTGGCCCTCTGCGCTCTGTGCTGTGACGCGGGGGAGCACACTAGTCCACTCTGAGCTGAACAGAGGATGCTCATAGTACTCCTGATCCGAACTGTAAGGTTCCTCGTCAGGCACAGACACCGAGATGGAGGGGGCTAGGAGCCTACGCCTCTCCCCGCTGCTGGCAGGTTCATGGCTGGGGAACCTGTGCAGAGGACCCACTTGATCCTCAGCCCCTTCATCTACAAACAGACACACAGGAAGAAACTGCAGGGAGAACTGGACAAGACAGACATGAGATCAGACAGACGAGACAGACACCCACAGGAGGACATGAAGGGTCACCCAAGCAGCACGGCAGGATGGAAGGGGCTGAGACAGACTGAGCGGATGGAGGATGAAGGAAGGCAGTGGATGGTGCATGCTTTTCTGGGTACTTAGCTAAAATTACTAGTTAGGGGAATTTACCATCGATCTAAAAGAATAAAAGACACTGACACCCCTGCTGCGAAATAGAAATTATCTGTGCATCCTTCTGCAGTAATTCAGAATAACCAAGGAAATATTCGAATAGAAACAGATCATCACAAAACACATGCATTCTTCCAAAGACATTCCTTCCTGAAGGTGAATTCTT